TATGTATGTATGTATGTATGTATGTATGTATGTATGTATGTATGTATGTATGTATGTATGTATGTATGTATGGCATGCATGTATGTATGTATGTATGTATGTATGTATGTATGTATGTATGTATGTATGTATGTATGTATGTATGTATGTATGTATGTATGAATATGCACATGTTTGTATAATTACCTTGTTGTTTGGTGCTGCAATCACACTGTCCGTTCTGACAGACTCCGTGGTGTGTGTTCCCACATACAGGTGGGTGACAGTCGTGGTCAGCGCTGCATGCGGTCGAGTTCGAAGTCAAGTTCGAGGTCGTGTTCGCTACGGTTGTGTCTTAATGATAAAAAAACAACAACAAGATATTTTCTTTAATCTAATTTTGATACAAAAATGTTTGTGTAACAGTTGATGTGGGTGTGGTTTGCTTGAGGGGAGACAGAAAAAAGTTTTGGAACTTTGTAGAAGCTGACTTCGATTACTGATCTCACTTTGTCTGTATAATTAAATTTATGTAATGGGGGCTCTCGTGGTATAGAGGTCACGGTGTTCGCCTCTCATTCAATGGGGTCCCCTGTTCGAAACATGACAGCGACGGAAAAGTTTCTTTGACTGGGTTGAACCTTGGTGGACCCACCGTGTTTACACGTATTAATGCGCACCATCCATAACAACAGTGGAGGGGGGGGGGGGGGAGGCTTCAGGGTGGCCTGCACCATGGAAACAATATTAATATAAAATCACACATAAATGCAAAAAAATAACATAAGAGCGGACCGTTGCACAGCCAGTCTCAAAAGTAGTTGCTGCTTCGTTCAGTGTTGAGTCCACCAAAGTTCAATCTTACTAAATTTTCTTCTCTAATAATGTTCTCCTTTCACCCCCTTTTCAGCACTCTAACCATGCTCTTTATTCTTCTTTCACCTTCACTTTCACAACCCCCCCCCCCCTCTCCCGCCCTTTGCCCCCTCCACTGTGCTCCTGGCTCTTTCTGCAGCCATTTATTGCTGCTCCTTGTCTCCCTCTTTCTGCTGTCTTTCAGCCCCACCCCTGATCTTATTAGTTAGGTAAGATCTAACACCTTGCCTTCTCGGATAAGGGCGATAAATCTTGGAGATCCCGAGTGCTAATTGAACGCGTTAAGGATCCCTTGGTGGTCCTAAAATCGGTAATAGTAGGCTTTGATCGCCACTGGGGCAAAATTCAAAATTCCTATCAAATCTGAAAATATTGAACGTTTACCACGCGCTCACATTACCTTATGCAGTTGAGGGCACTTTCCAAAAAATGTATGAGTATGTACGTATGTACGTACGTCAGTCTGAATACGTGGATGTTTGTATATTTACCTTGTTGTTTGGAGCTGCAATCACACTGCCCGTTTTGACAGACTCCGTGATGGCTGTTCCCACATACAGGTGGGTGGCAGTCGTGGTCAGCGCTGCATGAGGTCGCTCTCTTGCCTACGACGACGTCTAAATAGAAATAATAATAAAAATTATAATCATAAACATAATCATAATCATAAT